CATCTGTTATCTGTATTGGATCTGTTTACATTGTGCGATTGACATGACATTGACCAATCAGCTGAAAGGAAGAAAAATGCTGGTCAAAATTCGTACTTGTAACTTGCAGGGATTTTTGCTAAGTCCACACACAAATTTTTTACACATACAAATCTTTTTACAAGTACAAAATATTTATGACCACATTTAGCCATAAAAAGTCTCTTTTTAAAACTTGTTTTATTAGTTTTAATCTTTTAACTTTATGCATCAAGCAAAATTTAATTATCTGCAACATTCTCTGACTGGAAGAAATTATGTTTAACATTTAAACCTATTTTCTGCACATTCCAGCACATAAAATAAAATATTTTTTGTGTTTACACTCACTCTTTCAAATAGATGCAAGTAAAACACAGCAGAAAATAAATAAAATCAAAGACTCAGCGGTCCTGTTGCTCTATTTTCACCTGTAAAGCAGGAGTGGGGTAGGCGGAGGTTTACCCTGGTGCAGGTGTGCCGCGCGGTCAGTGGAAGAATCCGCGAGTTTCTCTGTGAGTTTCCCATCGTCGTTGTAGCTACTCGGTGCTTGCTGGAAGTTTAGGGGTTTTTTCGCTGTAAAAAGAAGTTTTCTTCCACGCACAACGGACACTAATGTTTTTGTCACTTTTTATGGAATCAAACTCAAAGTAAGGTCAGTACTTCCACGCTTTAAACGCTGCACGCTCATACTCTCTCCTGCACTCGATATACGATCCACTTGTTGATCTGCACACAGCTGTTGCCACGAACGCGCACTCGCTTACGTCATCTGTCATGAGACATCTTCAAAAAATTACGGTTTTAGTAACGCAGTAACGCAGCGTGCTTACAGGAAAGTAAAGGTAATCTAATTACCTTTTTTGCAATAGTAATCCCTTACTTTACTCGTTCTTAAATATCATTATGTAACGCGTTACTGCCCACCTCTGTGTAATATGAGGGAAACATTCATTTTTGTTGTTCTTTCCTTCAGCAGAGAGATGAATCCTTTCTTGGTTTGCAAACACTGGTGCTTGTTTTAGGTAATGTGTTTGTGTCCATTTGTCTAGATATTTTGCTGCAGAGAGAAGCATTCAGCCAACCGGCCTGTGAAGACCTCTGAAACCCCAGCAGCATGTAGCTGAGCTGTGCATAGGCTGAATGCTGATTGGTTGACAAACCAACTGAAACAGGAAAGGGAGGGACACTTCACTGAGACCAGGTGAAGCATGAAAAAGGTCATAAATACAGCATGAAAAGCACAGACAGCAGCTGCAGTGGACACTTTTCATTGTCTTTAATACAGGCTGGACACACTACATACTCTGCACAGGTACATGGGCGGTATGTAGCTCCCTATGGTCTGGTAATGCACTGCCAATGGAGAAGCATGCTGAACCCTTTACCCTGTCATCACTGAACATAACTTTCCTCCACATGTTCAAATTCTGCTGCATATGTTGCCGACACCAGCACAAATGGGCCTGATGGTGAAGGGCAGACACAGCAGGCTTCCTGTGGGCCCTGTGAGACCAGAGACCGTATGGACTCTGTTCTGGATTGTCTGGGTAGAGAACCATCAGCCATATGATCCTACAGACCTTGACTGCATATCTACAGAGGACTGCCTACGACTCCAGAGTGCTGACCGGGTCAGGGAACAGTCTTGGTTGGCCTTCAATTTGGAGGTTGTACTAGGGCTTCAAATAATGTTGTAACCTGGTTTTGTGGATCACCATCCTCCAAACCAATCCAGTTTGGAGCGAGTTCCAGAGACTCCAACTGAGCACCATAGCAGGGTCCATGCTCACAGGTGTCAGGAGCCTGAAACAAGAGTCAATAGCAGAAAAAGCTCTCAGAAATTGACAGACAAAATTTGGCAAGCTGTTCATGGACACAGACCACATGCTTAACTTGGCTACTCAACCCACAAATGCATTCTCCTTATAAATGTGGCACTATTTAAGGAGAAGGAGGCTTTCTAATTGGTATTAGATTTATTTCCAAGGGTTGCTACATCATGGAATAATTAACTAAGGAAATGTTTATTTAGTTTATTTCACTTTCACCAATGATATATATTCATTTCATATGACTAAACACTTCTGCCAGGGCGCATCATTACAGTCCAATAAATGCTTCTGGAGGAATTTGGGGTTCAGTATCTTGTCCTAAGACACATTGACATGTGGACTGGAGGCACTGGGGATCTAACTACCAACTTTCCAATAAATGAACAATTCATTATACCACTATTTGTTACTGTGGAGGTTCTGTGGCTCAGGTGGGAGCGCAGCAGTGGCGTGTCCAGCGGGGTGGCCTGGGGGGGCACAGGCCACCCCCCCAACCAGACTGGCCACCCCAGGTGCCACCCCAAAGGCAAAACAATAAAATTCAATCAAATATCAAATGTCCGATTATGTTTTCACGGTGAAGCTCAGATATCCGAGTGTAAGTGAATGCATGTTAGCAAAGGTAGGAGAGCCAAGCACGAAAGACGGCACTGCAGGAAACAATTTTTCGGTGAAAGAAAATGAGGACAGAATAAATGTCCCGGTAAGTAATATTAAGTTTGTTGAGTTTAGTAAACTTCGGTGAAATTAGAATACCAAGAAAAAATAACACTTAAAGAATTATTGCAGCCGTCGAATATTTCAGACAGTATGCTACTGAGGGCAGCTAACATAAGAGTTATGAGTTATAAGATATAATCTAAGTCGTAACATTGCTGTATGGAGCTGCAGATTTGGTTGCAGGTTAACATAGCTGGACTGGCCATCGGGCATACCGGGCATATGCCCGGTGACTTATTTTTTATTTTTTTTGTAATGGCATGAACAATGAGAGGTGGTGGATTGGCCAGATGCAGGTCGATGTGTAAAAATAACTCAGTTGTTTGGTGGTGGCTATGGCGGGGCTTCCACAGAGGCCAGCAGGTGGATGAGGGAAGGGGAGGCAGGAGGAGAGCCCGAGGCAGCCGCCGGTCCGAGTGTCAGGTGAACTGAACTTCAGGTAAGAAGTTATGACCTGCAGTCTATCTGGGTCAGATATAAACCAAGTTTAGGTGGAGTTTATTTTCGTTGTGCTGACTTTTTACCCTCAGTTGCAATAACTCGTACTGCGTTCTAGCCAGCTTGACGGAGTTTATATACAGCTGGGTGGGTGCTATGATGTTACTGATAGTGAACTTTATTTTATTCATAAGGTTAGTTAGTAGAGTTGCCAACGGCTCCTTAAAAAAATGGAATGGTCCCTCATTCAGAGAAAATATTACACGTTTCGTATTGAGCTGAGAAGAGACGCAGTTTGTCCCGGACTTTCGCTATAATGAAAAAAAGACACAAAGCTGGAGTTATTCTGTCGTTACGCTGCACAGCTGCCTCTTCTTCTCTCATTCTCTCCCCCTGCCTCTCCTGTTGCTACTTCAATCATGAAACTGATCAATGATCAGCTGATCGGCTTTTCTCTCTTGTTTGTTTATCGCCCACTTTGCGCCAGAAAGAGGAAACCAGCGGATGTCGCGCTAAACAACAGCAGCACGTTTAAGCTTGATCAGCTGTTGTTAGAATTTATTTAATATTAATTTCTAGTATCAGCTGATGTTGGCTGGAGCCACAGCTGTAAAGCTGCTGGTCATGATATGGTTTGGTTATCTGGTGAGAGGGAAACATGAAGATGAAACCAGGAGATGTCCTTACTGAATCATCAGAGCTGAACAGGTGATGGAGAAACAGGTTTACCTTTTAGGTGACATGAATGAGTTGAAGGGAAGTTATGAACTGTTTCTGAGAGATAAATAACACCAGGATCCTTTTTCTACGTAGCTGACAGCTGGTAACTGTGCAGGGGTGGATCTAGGAAAGTGTTGCCAGGCCAGGTAGGGCATTAACAGGGAAAGGTGGGGCACAAAGAAATACTTTTCTTTCTTATTCTCATTTAAAATATCTAGCTTTTATTAAATAATTATCTAAATCTTACAACCAAAGTTTTTATCTGACGTAAAATGTATAGAAATCATACATATACCAACAAGACAGTGTACATCACTGTCACAACAGCATTTGTTTTCATTCAAAGGCTTTATGGCTTTAATACCTGGTGGGCCGGTCTGTAGTCAAAATGCCCGATTTTCTGTCCCAGTCCAGCCCTGCAGGTTAATACTGGCAGTGTCACCATGCCAGCTGACTGTATTTCATCATCAGCCAGTGTTGTTCTTGATCAATATTACCAAAGTTTACCATAAGGCAGCATAGAAAGTATTTACTTGCTTTCAGGTTTTATTCAAATGTTAGTCTTTTCAGTTGTTTCCCCACTTTTTTCCTGTTTCAAAATCAAACACCAGTTTGTGAGAAGATTATCTTCTTTTTTTAACAGGCAGATAAAGTTTTACATTGGAACTGGCTAATTTGTCAATTGTTTGTTACAAATGTTCGTATTTTAATATTCAAAAATGTTTTTGCCCAAAACATATGTGCACTACATGTCAGTAAAAATACTATGCAAATATTGCTGTCCTTGAATGCTGAGTAAACACTGACAAAGCACTGATTGTATCTCTTGTACTTTATCAACGCAGTATCTAAAAACTTTGCACCGTAGTGGTTAAAATCTCATTCTAATAAGAGTTAAAAGCGCATTCGGTTATTAGGTTTATAGGGTTATTGAATTATGGTTAACGGTTGGTAGAATTTTTTTTAAACATTATCTGCCAATTACATCTGCCACCCTTCTCCAAATCTGTGCCCCTACCTGGCCCCCCCAACAAAAATTTTCTAGACACGCCACTGGAGCGCAGGTCATCTACCTGTCAGAGCTTTGGAGGATTAATCCCTGACGCATCCAGTCTGTATGTCGAAGCATCCTTGTGCAAGATACCAAACGCTAAGCTCCCCACCGAGTGGATGTGACTGTTAGAGAGACCGTGGTATAGATAAACAGCGTTCTCACTCCCGAGGCGTAACATGTCGACGTTTTGTCACGTCCCGCGGCGTTCCTGAGGAATGCGAAAGGAGTCCTTCGGCGTTCTTATGGTACGTGGCGGGTTATGGCTGGAATCCAGTGCAATGACGCTCATGGAACGTGGTTGTCAGGGTTCCTGGTCGTTGACCCAGTGATTTCAGTTTGTTCATGTTCAGTTTAGTTCGCCACATTAATGTTCTCACTTCCTGTCTTTTCCCCGTGTCAGTTAGTCAGATTATGTTCAGCCCTGTACTCGCCTGTTTCCAATCACTGTCATCATTCAACCTGTGTATTTAGTTCCTCTGTTTCACCAGTTCTTTGTCGTGTCATTGATGTACATGTGATGATGTCGTTCCTGTCGTGTGTTCAGTTCATTCAGTCAGCGCAGTCCTCATCAGTCAGTCGTCCCAGCCATTTTCTACCTCTGTTCTGTTCATCCACTCCTTATAATAAACCTTCACCAGTCTTCACCTACCTGCGAGTCCTGCGTTTGGGTTCCTTCCTCCTCGCCTCCACACAACGCCTGACAGAATGACACGACCCGTGCCACGAAGACACGTTGGAACCCAGCGGACTCGGACCTCTATGAGCGGCAGGAGGTAGCGCTCTCCTTGTGGGCGGAAAAACTCAAGGAGAGACAGCGGCTCTTCGCGGAGCGAGAGCACGTCTTCGAGGGCACTCGCTTGGCTCTGGGCGGGCCTCGGAGACGCCGCGTTCCCCCACCTGCTGCCTCACCTGCACCGGAGCATCTGCCGCGGAGAGTGGACGTTTCACGCCGCGCTTCGGCCGCTCCCTCTCTCGCCACTCCGCTCCACGCTCACACATCACCTGCCTCATTCACCGGACCTTCAACCTCGCCACGGCACAGCGGCTCCGCCTTCCACCTCGGCTCAACAGAGGCTCCCGTGCCAGAGGCTCGGACGTGTACCCCGCCCGCTTCCTCCTCCCGGAGAAATCGGCGCACACGCCGCCATAAAATGGACTATTTCCAGCAATTCCCGGTGGTGAGTTCCAGTGACTGTTTTCCACCCTCATTTGACTCTCCACGTAAACCCAATAATAAACCCATCTCTCATTCATGGGATGTTTCCCTCCTGGAGGATTCTGTGGACTGGGAAGAGTTTTTCTGCTCTGCTCCAAAGACTGTAAATAGTGGTGGCAGAAAAACCAGAACAATCTCCAATAAACCTGCCAGTAACACACACATCGTCACTATTTCTACACCCATTATTCAGCCATTTCCCACCAGCACGGGGGCCCAGTCTACGCCCACACCAGTGCCAGCTCCCAGGAGGAGGGCAGCTGCGACCCAGTCTACCTCCACACCCGCTTCTGTTTCTCAGGTGGGGGTGACTGGTGTCCGGCCACCTTCCGTGCCTGTCCCAGCGCCCAGGCTGAGGGCAACCAGAACCCAGCTTGACCTCCCTGGAGGCTTGGAAGAGCTAACCGGTTCACCTGCTACGTCACCACTTCATCCACCTCCTGACCCAGCCTTTCACGCACTAGCTTTATCCCTGGTTAGGCTGGCTGAAGTGTCCCCTGCTCAGGCACCAGCTTTACTAGCGCAGGCTGTAGCTTTATCTCCCTGTCTAGCCCAGTCTGTAGCTCAGCCATCAGCCACACCAACCTCAGCTCCGTCGTCAGCCTCGCCTGCCTCTGTTCCTCCCTTAGCATCTCCACTCCAGTCAGTTCCCTCGCCTGCTGTTCAGCTTCCACTCCAGTCAGTTCCCTCGCCTGCTGTTCAGCTTCCAGCCCCGTCAGTTCACTCACCTGCTCTCCAGTCCGCTCCTGTCCAGTCACCCGTAGCTCAGTCTCCTGTCCAGTCAGTCCAGTCTGCTCCTGTCCAGTCAGTCCAGTCGCCTCCTGTCCAGTCGCCCGTCCACCATCCTGTTCAGTTCCCGGACCTGCAGCCACAGCACCCAGAGCCAGCTGTGAGCTACCCTGCTCCTCAGCCAGGGGTTTCCGCACCCGCTGGCCCGGCCGCTTCCCTGCCAGAGGTCCCCGCACCTGCTGGTCCTGTCCTGTGTGTGCCAGGGGCTCCAGTGCCCACTGGTTCTGAGACCGTTTTCGCTGGAGGGCCCGAGGAGCCCGTCCAGCCTCATGCCTCGTCAGCTGGAGGGCCCGAGGAGCCCGTCCACCAGCCTCATGCCTCGTCAGCTGGGGGTTCAGGAGAACCGCACCAGCCTCACTGCCTCGTCAGCTGGGGGTTCAGGAGAACTCGCACCAGCCTCATGCCTCATCAGCTGGGGGCCCGAGGAGCCCAGTCCAGCCTCATGCCTCGTCAGCTGGAGGCCCAGAGGAGCCCGTCCAGCAGCCTCATGCCTCGTCAGCTGGGGGTTCAGGAGAGCCGCACCAGCCTCATGCCTCGTCAGCTGGCGGTTCAGGAGAACCGCACCAGCCTCATGCCTCATCAGCTGGAGGGCCCGAGGAGCCCGTCTAGCCGGAGGGCCCGAGGAGCCCGTCCAGCCTCATGCCTCGTCAGCTGGAGGGCCCGTCCAGCCACCACCTGCGGCTGCCTCGCTGTCACCTAGCTCTGCTTCTGCTACGCCTGGTCCGGCCTCAGACTCTGCCTCTGCTTCTGCTACGCCTGGTCCGGCCTCGGCCTCTGCTTCTGCTTCGCCTGGTCCGGCCTCGGCCTCGGCCTCTGCTTCGCCTGGTCCGGCCTCACCCTCGGCCTCTGCTTCGCCTGGTCCGGCCTCAGCCTCGGCCTCGGCCTCTGCTTCGCCTGGTCCGGCCTCAGCGGCCTCGCCTCGGCCTCTGCTTCGCCTGGTCCGGCCTCAGGCCTCGGCCCGGCCTCTGCTTCGCCTGGCCCTACAGCTGCTCCTCAGTCTCCCCTGGCTCCCGCGCCGCCTTCTGCAGCTGCTCCTTGGCCGCCTTCTCCTCGTCGCCGGCATGGTCGACCACCGCACCGGCTCAGTGGCCGCCGCCGTCTTCCTCGCTGCCGCCCCTGGATCGACTTCAGCGTCTCTGCCGCCGTCGTGGCCGCCCGACCTGAACTGTATGGGCTCAGCCACTGGCCGCGTGGCCGCCCACCTTAACTGTCTCTGTTTGGACTCCGTCCCTCCGTCCTGGGCCCCCTCCGCCCGCCCTGGTCTGGTTCTTCTTTCTTTCGGCCGTCGGGTGCCGGCCTTTGGAGGGGGGGTACTGTCAGGGTTCCTGGGTCGTTGACCCAGTGATTTCAGTTTGTTCATGTTCAGTTTAGTTCGCCACATTAATGTTCTCACTTCCTGTCTTTTCCCCGTGTCAGCTTGTCCCCTGTGTCATTAGTCAGATTATGTTCAGCCCTGTACTCGCCTGTTTCCAATCACTGTCATCATTCAACCTGTGTATTTAGTTCCTCTGTTTCACCAGTTCTTTGTCGTGTCATTGATGTACATGTGATGATGTCGTTCCTGTCGTGTGTTCAGTTCAGTTCAGTCAGCCAGCCATTCAGTCGTCCAGCCATTTTCTACCTCTGTTCTGTTCATCCACTCCTTATAATAAACCTTCACCAGTCTTCACCTACCTGCGAGTCCTGCGTTTGGGTTCCTTCCTCCTCGCCTCCACACAACGCCTGACAGTGATGGGTAGCCGAAAACGTAATATGGTGACGATTTGTCACCTAGCGTAAAATGTTAAGCTTTAGGAGCGAGAACGGGTTGAGATAAAAGTGCTGTATGAGTGTGTGTGTGTGTGTGTGTGTGTGAGAGAGAGAGAGAGAGAGAGAGAGAGAGAGAGACTGGGTGAATGAGACTTGTAGTAGAAAGCACTTTGAGTGTTGTGTGTTGTTTTTGTTGTCGTCTTTCAGTCTGATGCATACTTTTCTTTGTGCAGCATTTAACATGAAAAATGGAAAATTCTTTAATGGTCCTGCTGCCATTTAATTGCTCATCCGTTTTTTTTAGTCATTTTTCTTTGAATGCAATCCATTTTCGGCATTAGTCCGATGACCTAAATTGGCTTGAAGGATCCATCCATTTTCTACTACTTATCCAACCCACGTGTGTGTGTGTGTGTGTGTGTGTGTGTGTGTGTGTGTGTGTGTGTGTGTAAAAATGAAATTTTAATATAATTCTTCATTTTTTTATCCCTTAGTATAATTAAATATAGTCTAATAGATGATGTGCAGCCTTCTTGAAACAATATGTTCTGAATGTTTTGAATTTTAAAGGGACTTACCAAACTGATTGGTAGTGGAAAGAGCTGGGGCCTTAAATCAGTCAACATAACTTTCCTTTTATTTCCTCATCCATACATTCTGTTGACTATGAATAAAGATATACAGTGCTAAACAAATTAGATAAAACAAAAAGAACTACCATCATATCCATGACTGGATACATAATCATAATTGGAAGATATGTATCAGTATTGCAGGGGGAAAAATTGTTCTGTGCAACCAGGGTACTAAATCTAATTAGATCAGTTTGGTATCAGGGGTTGTGTACATCAGTAACTAGAATCTAATTAGGCCAAAGCCAAAGTTTGGCAATAAGGTAGTCATATAGTACTACTTCATGACTCGTCAGATCAGTAAGGTGGGGGTCTGTTTTTTGTAACTGCATCTACTTGTCTGCAGAGAATCTACAGTACAGTGCCCTAACTGTTCATGAAAATGTCAAAGCAGTGTAATAAGAATGACTACTTGGCCATTGGGTCCAATATAGATTATCCAAATAGTCCACAATTAATGTCATTCTTAGTATTAAAGCTACAATCAACAGGAGTTTTCTGCAGTTGATAACGCTCTTGCTGTTGTATGCCTCCACCAGCGGACCAAGTCCGTTCCTGTCTACACAAATGCAGTGACAGCCCTCGAGCAGTAGCACCCAAGATGCTGGTGGTCAGGTGGTGGAAGAATTCCATATTGGTGGCCTTAGAATCTCAGGTCTGCTTTTGCAGATGACGTGCCTCAAGTTATGTTGTCTTCATCTGTCTTCATCAGGTGGTGGCCTCCAGCTCACACTGCCACAGTCTGGCAGAGGCAGACTGTATGTATTATGAAAAGGACCCAAAACACAGACACCATGAAACAAAAACTTTAATTTTAACAGAAAGCGAGCTGTTTATTAAGGCTGGTAAAAACATTACAAAACAAAAGGCAGAGGAGAAGCTAAACAATAACCTAAACTGGGAGAGCTAAGATATCATAGAAACCCAAAACATGAACCCTAACATGGACACAAAAATACCTAGAGCACAGAACCTGGAAACATGACACAAAGGACAACAGACAACCTGCCAATGACACATTGAAAACAGAGGACTTAAATACACAGGAGGTGATTAGGGGAAGTGGGAACACATGGAGGAACAGCTGACTTACATGAGCCTAATGACAGGACAAGGGAAGTGAAACTAAATACAATGAACAAAGAACACACGACTCCTTCAAAATAAAACAGGAAACATGAGACAGACATGATAATACAAACTTGATAACATAAGAAACAAAGGGTGAGGGAAACTTAAATACAGGGGAAGAAAACACAAGGAGTCTAATAACCAAATGAACTTTGCTAATCTAATGAACTTAAACATAAACAACATCCAAATAAACTAAAACTTAAAACGCTGGGTCAACAGGAACATGACACACACTGTAGCAGTTCACCAAGCGAGAAGTGGCGCGAATGAGAATTACCACCTTCAATTCAGAGTCCATGGTTCTCAGCTGGAAAAGGGTGGAATGCCCACTCCAGGTCAGAGATAAGTTACTGCCCCAAGTGGAGTTTAAGTATCATGGAGTCTTGTTCATACAAACTGCAGGAATATCTTTTTCACAAGGGAGCATCTGCAGTAAATCTTACACTGTAGCGAGAAATCAAGAGAAAGCTGTGCACAAAAGCGAAGCTGTCAATTCAAGAGGGGCTCAGAGTAGAGCAAGTAGTCCCCCTCATGGAAAGGAGCTAGTTGAGGTGGTTCGGGCATCTGAGTAGGATGCCTCCTGGGTGCTTCGTGGTGAGCTGTTCTGGGCATGTGCAAGCAGCGTATGCTGGGAAGAACAAGATAGGGGCAAACAACACCTACACCTGACTGGTTGTCAGATACCCTGCTGGGCTATACGCTAGCCAAAAGATGGGCTAGAAGCCATTGACATCAAGACCAGAATGCTGCGTACTAAGTATGGATGGTTTCACTCCCAGGCCCAGCACCCTGAGACTGTACGCTAACAAACATCCATGAGTACATCAGGAAGAGGGCCACAACTGATCATGTGCTTGAAATGTGGTTAAAATGTGACTCGTATCCTCAAGAGCTTGGAGTGATCAGTAAGACCGGACATTATAGCATATCTACATTACATCTGTGCAGTTTGGTGCACAAACTAACTGGTTAAAACAGAGGGAATCCTACATGATAATAAGCTACGCACAGGCCACCTCTGCAGGCTACATAACAAATTCAGGCATGCACAACCACATCAGGAACCAGTATGCATAATTACAGCCACAGGTTAAAGTGGGCCGGAGCGGTCCAGAACAGCATAACCTTCAGATAATGAGCAATTAAATCTGATAGGCAGGTTAATGCATATTACTGCTGAATGAGATTATTTTAGTGTGCTGCAGCCTGGTGTTGCTTCCAGGGAGGGAAGAGAGACACTTCTTCAGTAATAAGAAAATAATGACACAGTCCATTTACGCCTTACAACACTGTTTTTTAGTATCTATGACACAGTCATGGTGCAGTTATGATAATAAGTGAATAGTAAATTCAGTGTAGAGCATTTTAATCTAATAAAGCTTTACTTTTAGAAAGAACAACTAATAACTTTGACATTTTACATATAATATAACGAACATGTTGTTTCCAGGTTGATTCATAATCATCTACCACAACTTTTCAGCCAGGAATAGTCTTATTCCACATCTTTCTAATTTCCTTATTAACTGACTATGATCTACTGGATCCAAAGCTTTCTGTAGGTCAAGATAAATACCAATCAATAACTCTCAGTGACCTCGGTTATTTCTTCAAGCATCTCCCATAAGTAATATTTCTATTTCTCCGAAAACTATACTGATACTCATACAATATTTTATACTTATCAATAAACAGATCAGATTTTTCACAATTTCTCTAAGGAAGGAGATCTACTGCTCTATAATGATGCACACAGTCCTCATCCCCATTTTAAACATTGGAATTACCTTTGCTAATTTCATATTATTAGGAAATTTTTCATGAAAAGACTGATTACATATGTTAAAGGTTTGAATCATAAATTGTACAAATCTCAACTTCTTTTACGAAGTTCGTTTACTGTACAAAGGCACATAGACTCCATTTGTGTCCACATTTCTAATTGGACAGTGTTTATTATATAATTCTAATAATACACTCAAAAATGCACTTTATGCTCGACCAGGGTCATAATTATATACCCCATGCCAGTATTGATTTATTAGATCTATCTTTAATGTCTCAGTTCTGTCTGGTGATCTTATTCTGACAAATTTATAGATGGTGCACTCACATCAGACACTTAACATTTGTGTTATGTTTTTAAAAAAATGGAAGATCATCACTTACATCACTCAAAAGCAACCCACTTGTTACTTGAACATTTATATTCAAAAAATGTTATTAATAAGTGTAGTACTTTCTTTGGTTATCTAAATAGGTTTATCCACAAGGGCTTAGAGACAAAAAGTGAACATTAAATTAAAAATATCTGCTGTTAATTAAAATATAATTTCTGCGTATATATATTTTTTTGTAAAAATAATGGCATCAGTAATGATAAACTGATCAACACAAGAACTGGGTGTTCTGTAACTACAAATCAAAACTATACTCTTAAATCTCATTGAATGCATTTCAATGGTTAGACTCTCCGTAATATCATCAACCACTGTTCAGTTACCTTAAATTAGGGTTTAGGTCAGAGTACTCTTCTATACATAAAACATCATACCACCCCTTTTGTAGTGTAGTCGGATGGTAACAAAGAGAGGGAAGGTACTCAGAACTGAGGGGATTGAACTACCAGGAGGCAACACTGCAGACATA